TAAATTATTAATTTTTTATTATTATTATTCGTTTTTTATTAAATTTTGTTTTTTTTTTTTTTATCAAAAATCGGAAAATGCTTTTTTCTTTTTCTTCTTTTTATTGTCCTTATATTATAACAATCAAACATCATCACCTTTTCTTATTCTTCAAAATTTTATTCTTTTTTCATTTTTTCTCCTCAAATAAAGATAAAAAGAATTTCTTCCTTATTAATCCAAATTTCACCTTCTTAAATCTTTTTTTTCTTCTTTCTTCTTTTATTAAATTCTTCTTCATCCCTCTTCTTCATCTTCTTCTTCTTATTCTTAGTTCTTCTTATTTTTCTTCTTCTTCTTCTTCTTATTCTTATTATTCTATTATTTCTTTTCCTTTAAAAAAATTCTTCTTATTATGATTATTCTGAAAATTATATTCTTCAATTCTTCTTCTTTTTCTTAAGATTCTTATTCTAATGTTATATTATTATTATTAGGAATAAAATCCTTAAAATCATCTTTTTTCCTTTACTAAATTATTATTATTATTATTATTCTCATCCCCTTCCATCTTCTTATTCTTCTTCCTATTCTTCTTGGTTAGACAGAGGTCATTTTCTTCTTATTATTATTATTGATGGGTCCTTTCTTCTACTTCTTTTATTTTCTTATTATTATTATGTCTTATTTAGAAATTCCTTCTTTTTCACAAACACCGATTCTTTTAAATTCTTATTATTATTATTATATTCTATATATCCATCTTTTAAGGTTATTTCTTTTAATATTATTCTTTTCAAACTTTCTTGTTCTTCTTCTTTTCTTTCTTGAATTCTTATTAAAGTCATCCCCATAAAACTTCTTCTTCTTTCTTCTTTTCATATTATTATCTCCAATCTTATCCTTCCATCTTCTTCTTCTTTTTTCTTCTTTGGATTCTTCCTTCTTTTTATAAAAACTTCTTTCTTCTTATTCTGGTCATTTTGTCATTCCTCTGGTTCCAAATTTTTAATTGGTTCTTCTTCTTCTTTTTAAGAAGAAATTCTATCTTCTTCTTTAGTTATTCTTTTTTTTGTAGTATTCTTATTTCTTTTGAGTCTTCATTCTTCCTTTCTTTTTCTTCTTCTTTGTATTTTATTTTTCTTCTTCTTCTTTTTTTCTTTTCTTTTTCTTCTTCTTCTTTTTTCTCTTTCTTCTTCTTCTTCTTCTTTTTTTCTTTTTCTTCTTTTCTTTTCTATTCTTATTCTATTTGTATGAGAAATGTTCTTCTTTTCATTTCTTTTCTTCTTTCTTCTTATTATTATTCTCTACCAATTCTGGAAAATCTTCTTCTTACCTTCTCCTTTCTTTTCCTAAATCTTCTTTTTAACAGTTATTATTATTATTTTTACTTTTTCTTCTTCTTTTCTTCTTCTTCTTTCCTATTCTTTTCTTTTGAAGACCTTCTTACTTTGGATTATTTTCATTCTTAAAGGTTCTTTCTTCTTCTTCTTATTCTTATTCTTTCTTTTTTTTCTTATTCCTCTTCTTTCTTCTTCTTCTTCTTCTTCTTTTGAACAATCTCTTTCTTTTCTTTTCTTTTTTCTTTTATTCTTCTTCCTCTTCTTTCCTATCATCTTCTTCTTTTCTTTTAATTATTCTTTCGATGACATTTTTCTTTGTTTTTTCTTCTTCTTCATAGAACTTTCAATTAAAATTTATTAAACCTTCCTTCTTCTCCCTTCTTCTGTCTTCTGTTGACCTTATTCTTTCTTCTTCTTTTCTTTTTCTTATTAATTTTTTTATTTTAAAATCACTTTGAATATTCTTTTTTGGAATTCAACTTTTCCATTCTTCTTCTTCTTCTTCTTTTTATTCATTCTTTTTCTTAAAATTTATTCTTTTCTTTATTATTCTTTCATTTGAATTTTGGATTCTTCTTCTTCTCCAATTATTGTTAAAATTATTAGAAAAAACTATTTTTTTCTTACAAATTAGACAAGTAATTCTTCTTTTTTAAAAAAAGAAAGACAATTTTATTATTAAATTATTATTATTCTTTTATTACCTTCTTCTTTTCACATTTTTCTTTTTTTTATTAGTTTCTTTTCTTTTTTATTTTCTTGCTATTGGATTCCATTTTTTGTCTTTCACCAAAAAAATTTCAATTCTTTTTATTTTTTTTTTTTTCTAGTTTTTTTTTTTTAAATACCTTTCTTTTTTCTTTTTTGCTTTTGCTTTCTTTCTTTTCTGATTTAACATTCTTTCTTTTCAATTTTTTATATTTTATTCGAAAAAAAGTATTTTAGAAAATTGAAAAAATATTTAAAATCTTCTTTTGATTTTTTTCTTTTTAAAAAGATTTGAGTTTTCCTGTTCTTTCAATTATTTTTTTTCTTCTTCTTTTTATTCTTCTTCTTTATTTTGTCTTTTTTTTTTTTTCTTTTTTCTTCGTCTTTTTATTTTAAATTTGTCTTATTTTTATTCCTCTTCTTTTCTTTTTTTCTTCTTTTATTTACATTTGGCTATTATTCTTTTAGGATTCCAATATTTTATTCTTTTTCTTCTTCATTTTTTTTATTTTTTTATTTTTGTTGTTCTTCTTTTCTTTTCTTTTCTTTTCTTTCTTTTTTTTTTTTTTTTTCTTTTTTTCTTTTTCTTTTTCATTTTCTTTTTCTTTTCTTCTCATTTTTTTTCTTTTTTTGATCTTTTTTTTCTTCTTTTTTTTCTTTTTCTTTCTTCTTCTTTGGCTTTTTTCTTTTTTTCTTCTTTTATTTTTTTCTTCCTTTTCTTCTTCTTATTTTCTTTCTTTTTTTCTTCTTCTTTTTTTCTTTTTCTTCTTCTTTTTCTTTCTTTTTTTTTTCTTCTTTTCTTTTTTTTCTTTTCTTTTTTTCTTTTCTTTTTTTCTTCTTTCTTTTTTTTCTTTTTTTTCTTCTTTCTTTTTCTTTTCTTTATTGATGCTTATCTTTCTTTTTTTTTCTTTTTTTTCTTTTTTTCTTTCTTTTTTTCTTTCTCTTCTTCTTTTTTTCTTCTTCTTTGATCTTTTTTTTTTTTTTTTTCCATCTTCTTCAGCTTCTTTTTTTCTTCTTTTTTCTTCTTTTTTTTTTCTTCTTTTTCTTCTTTTTTTTCTTCTCTTTTTTCATTTACAGCGTTTTTTTCTTTCATATTCTTTTCTTTCTTTTTTCCTGTCAAATTTTTCTACGTTTTGAACATTTTTTTTCTTTTTTTCTTCTTTTTTTCTTTATCCCTTTGAATATCTTAGTCTGAATTTTGACAAAGGTTTTTTCATATTTTTCAACACGAAATCTAATTAATCTGCTTGCCTGAGACATGGACTCCCTCAGATATTCACCTTTTTAGATGACATCAGTTTAAGTGATCACCCTGTATTTGTTTTAAGCTCATAACTTGTTCTTAAATTATTCCCACAAACACTCAGCGCTGAATGACCTAGAAATACTTGATTGTATAGCAAGAAAACAAAGCAAATATGACAATAAAGCAAAACAACATGAAATAAAAATACAAAAAGAACAAGTATGTACAATCTTTTAAGTACAAGAATAACTATGGTGGTTAGCTAATCCTGAACAGATTATATTTTTGTTTCAGCGGTAATAGAATAATGGGATAATGGGTTGGTCTTTTAATCAGAAAAAGAAAGCGTTTAATAGAATGATTGGTGTATTCTTCACTTAAGTAAATACTTTCTACACAAAATGAATCTGTTTCTTCTCCCCATGACAAACAAAAAACAATATGTTAAAGAGAAAATTATTCTCAACATAAAGAAATATTTCAAAAAAAATAAAATATATTTGTTAAATAACATTCAAAAGATAATCCGTAAACATACATCGACAAAAATATATTGTATATACCTATATATATCCCAGAATATATATATATATTTTATATTTAAGTAAATGCAAAGACGCGTTCTCTTGTAAATTCAATAGAACTGAAACAGCATCCTCCTGTAGAGAAATTAACAAAACCTAAAACACCGTCCATCTATGAAAAAATTGTCCAGTGGTCGAAAGCGATTGTGACAATTGACATTCCATATAATTTCGGCGCCCACCCTTTCATTCATTGTCAACAAACGGAATTTTATCTAAAGAAAAAATTGATTTTTTTTTCTTGCCTGTTATATTTAATGAAAAGATGAATTTCGTTGGGTGAAAGGCGGTCTCCTTACTTTCCTTTAATGGTTTATATGTGCAGTATAAATATATATATAAACACTTTTATAAGTTAACAGTTATATATATGCATATATATACAGAAAATCACCGTGAAGGCAATTTTAATTCCCTCCACGCTCATGGTAGGATATATATATATATATATATAATGTTTATATATTTAATCAACGACCTAAGATGAAACAGAATTCATTTTTCTCACTAAATATCTATATATATTAAATTGTGTGTGTTTGTGTTTAGTTTTTGGTAACCACAGTTATTACTGTGGTAGCTGATCTAAAAAACATGATTTTAAATTTTCAATTCTATAATTATTAATTCACTTTTCGCAAATTCTACTGTCTTTTCAAAAATTCCCTCTCTTCAATCAGTAGCCTTTTCTTATAGAACGCCTGTTCTTTTCTTTAAATATATATATTATATTATATATATATCGATATATGTTGATCCGTTATATTATTACAAAACAGTTTAATCTACTGCGAGATAAGTTGGTTCACTCTTACCTATTCGTTTCTCTCAATTCCAGTCTTTAAGTGTTTTAAGTTTTATTCGTCCTATAAATATAATTATATATATCTCGATCATGGTATATTATCTCCATCACTTTCTTTTATTTTGTCTTTCTCTCAAAAATCTGTCTTACAAATTCCCTAAGTTGCCATTCGTCCTTGCTTTGGATATTAATATCTACTTATTTCGGTCTTTCTTTTCTAATAATTATTTATCATCCTGATCTAAATATATATCTATCTATATATATATATATATTTCATCCCTCATTCTGAATACTTAAAGAAAACTTAAATATATCTTCTGCTTATGAAATTTATGGCGATTCTTGAAATCTCATCTATCTATCAGTCGTCTATCTATCTACCTAAGTCCGTAACAATATATTCAATGATATGGGTATCTATTGTCTAGATATCTATCATGAGGCTATCCTCTTGTATAAAAAGTATTTCATTGTATCGGCTCGTTCTTACATATTTATTCACCTCATTTGTTCGCCTTGGACCGTTAAGTAGTAAGCCCAACACAATGTGTTCGCATCTCAGCATAAGAATTTATTCTTTATCAATTTTGAATTTCAATCTTTTTCATATAAAGAAAATTGATCTATTCTTTCCTTTATAAAGACAAACATCATTTTTCTATCTAGTCTATCTACAGATCTCCTTAATAAATATCTAAAACCATCTATGTCTGGAGGTCCAAAAATTAACAGTATCTATCTGCAATAAAACTTCTATCAAAAATAAATTCTGTTTAATTTCTCGTATCCATCTTACATACATACATCAAAATATATAAAACCAGGTGTCATCTATCTATCTTTGTATCTATATGTCAATCGGGACTACCTAAATCTTAATTTCAGATACTTCTATCTCTCGAAATCGATTTTAAATTTTTATTTTTTTTTCATCTTTTGTCAAAATTCAGTTCCCCGGACATACTGAATAATGTATTGGAGCAAAAATACAAAAGGGAATTTATGTTCTCTTCCCTCTTTTATTTATTATAACGTTCGGCTTTAAAAAAAGTCTTAAATAATGATTTATTGGCAGAAATCATAAATCTTTCGCTCCTTGTTATTGTTACTGTTCCTTAAATTTAAAAAGTTGATCTTATTGTTATATGATTTATATCTATAATATATATTTAAAAATTATTTTTATTTTATATGATTTTCCTTAATCCACTGTGGATTTAAAACCTGAAAATTTATATTGATTCTGTAAAAATTTTTAAAATTGATGATTTAAAATAAAAAATAAAAAATTGAATTTTATAGATAAATTCAAAAAAAATCTATAATATTCTACAAAACAGTTCCTAAATTAATTCTATGATTTAAAATCCGCTAAAATGATTAAATAAATATTTATTATTATATATAAAATATTTTTTATTAATATTTAAAACGTTGCCAATTTTTTTAGCGTAATTCATATTACGCCTGTTTATGAATAATCGCGTTAGATATCTGGGATAGGAAGCATCCTTAGTGTGAATATCCGTAATAAAAAGCGTATAATCTGGTCATTCACTCTCTTGATTCAAATAATCTCTCATAAAACCATTGACATCTCCAAGATCCATTAAATTTGCATTTTTTTTTTTCTCAGATCTTTTTCTCAATTAGGTTATATTATTTGAAAATTGTCCAGAACTTAATTCATTAAATTACTGAACCCCACTTCTATATATTCTGAACATTCATATATTCATATATATATATTATATATATATATATATATATACCATAATTAACGATGATATTTTATTTAATGTAAGGCTGTTCATTTTGCATAATATCTTCGAGAGTTTTGAAATTAATTAAAATTTTTTGCATTAGGTTCCGTAAAGTATTTTGTTGTTATCTATTATTATTTGTTTTATGCTGATAGTTGTTCTTTGGTTGTTCATGATGTGCTGTTTGATAAATATGTAAATAAGCAGTGTGGACTTCGGTATTAACTCTGGATATAACATACTTTTCATGTTAAATGCAATTTTTAATTTGAAACATGAAACAGACTCTTACCATCCAGTATTACGAAATCCACATATTTATATACACTTGTCTCTGATATTGAACATTTTCTCCCATAAATATTGCATAACTTAAAAAAGTATATTTACACTATTTAGATTTTATGGACTGTTGTTCTCATCTTTATTGCCATATTCACACATGGCCATTTTATTTCTAAATTCACATTATATATTTCAAATTTTCAAACTGAACCCTTTATTTAGTCCATTGTTTTAATTCAAGTTTCATGACTTTGTTTCAGTTATTTTTAATTAGTAATTTAACTCTCCAGGCTTTCGTTCAGCTCTGCTGTGGGTAGGTATTGAACTCACAACTCTTTGGGTCAAATCACTTTTCATCATGACTTAACCATTTCTTTTATCCATTTGGCCATGTGTCTCCAAATAATTTTGTGTGAAGTCTGAGACAATTGTTGAGTTTCATAGAACTACTGAGTGTTCTGGTATAAATAAATAAATAACATGTTTCTTTTTTAGTCTAAGTATCATTATTCGTAATTTTGAAAAGTCAATCATTAAGATTAATTGACACAAAATGTCTGTTGTTTTCAATAGTATTTGCCGTTCGCATATTTCTTGCCTAAATACACCACAGAATAAATATATATATATATATATATATATATATATATATATATATATATATAGGAAAACAAACAAATAGAAAACATCGATCTCTAATATAATTTCACTTTAATTAAAGCTTCCTAAATTAGATCAAGATAGAAATGATAAAAAAAAAGATATCAGGTATAATTGTGTCAGAATAACAGATAATATTTAAATATGTTTTAAAATATTCTTGATGCTAAATTACATTATTTTTCGATATTACCTGTTACTTCTATAACGTGACGTATATCCAATGAAAACTGTATCTTACAAATTTTTTGCACACTTTGGCATCAAGAATATTTGCCACACATATTTAAATATTATCTGTTACTTCATTGCATGTACCTAAATAATGAAATAAACAAATACAACATACCATTAATCCGTGTCTCTTTAATTTTATCATTTTTTATCATTTCTATCCTGATCTCTGACGAAGTTTTAATAAAATTTGAAACACTTTTGATTAAGATCTATTTCCTATTTGTTCTTTATCCTATCATTTTGTTGAATTCCTATATGCATAAACTATATATATATATATATATATATATATATATATATATATATACATGAAGATATGTATATATATATATATATATATATATATATATATATATATATATATATATATAGGCATAGTGGATATAACGGATTTAACGCTTGGATTGAAAATCGGAGAGCTGAGTTTGAATTCAGTCGAATCCAGTTACATTTACTTATGTGCTAATACCCTTGGAAAAGATGTGAATCCTCTTCTTCTCCCTCCAGCTATGGGTAAAATAGCAGGACAGACTAGGTTCTATAGCCTTGGATGGCAACTGGTCTAGGAGAAGGACAACTCTGAATTCAAAACCTTCGGAGGGTCGTTTTTACCTTGTTCACTTAGTGCAGCAGGTCTCTGAATTCGGCCCTTCAAAAAAGTGACTGGTCCTGCACGAAACCATCACTACTATTATCAAATCTCATGTGCTGTTGTCGGGCTGTCGGTTTGCTGGTAAGATGATCTGCATGACCCTCATATGTCGAACTCGATTTTAAAGTCGACTATATATATATATATATATAATAAAAGGCTAGGATGGGGCCTCAAGACTTGGATTTGAATCTTCCTAGCAGGTAGGGTCTCCATAAAATCATTCAGTGTACTTGTTCTATATGAGTTTGTGAGTTGGGAATCAGGAAGTTGGGCATCCGGATTTGTGAAAAATTACCTAAAATCATGACAGTGATACTCTTTTAAAGGTGAGACTCACCTTGCTATGTGTGAGAATAACCCCAGTCCTGCCTCAACAAAAAAAACACCACCCCGTATGTATGAATGTATATATGTAACTGAATTATTTCAAACTAAAATGATATAACTATGATTCACAATAAATACTAATTTTCATTACCATATTAATCTAAATTATGCTAATTAGAAGTGAACATCAATGATATCTTGAATCAGTATAATAATGCAAACTTGTGGTTGTATTCTTGAGCGTCTCCCAATATAACTTTGCATTTAATGTTTAATTTACCAGCTACCAAATTTCAAATCTAAGTGCAAATACAGATATGTTTTCCATCAGCCAACAACCGGTATATTGATAAAGCAAACATTATCAAACCTGCTTCTAATAAAAACACATTTTATGATCAAACATATTATGTTTAGTAATAATATGAATGCTGATGTGACAAATTCTACAATCACATTTCAAAATGCTTATTATTTATGAGAAAATTTGCTGAAAAAATCTCTGATTCAACATTCACCCATAAAATTCTCATTAGTTATTTGGTCAAATATTGATAAGGCGGGTAATCCAAGACTTTTTCAGCACCCCTTACTAGGAAAACTTTTCCGAAAAATAAAAAAGCAAAAAACTAAACAGACATGTTAGGGAAAAACTTGATTAATGATTTATTGATTTCAAAATCTATAAAATGAAAAATATCATCTAAGTTCTCAATAGATTTTGCCTGAAATTTTTTATTTGAATGACTATTTTATATATATATATATATATATATATATGGAATCATTACAAAGATGTATATTTATCTTTTATTCTCGATGCCTAATATAAGCATCTCAACTGGTTCTGTATAAATTCAGCAGCTTCTATTGAATGACTTATAATTCTATTTACTTGTGGTATGGATTATCTCCCATTTATACGTGTTCTGCATTTAAATTAGTTAAATAGTACATAAATCCATTTTAAGTTGAATAAAGTTTCAAAAGTTATTATATTTTTTTCTTATGACAATTTATTCAAGTTAGAATGGAATGTTTCCTGTTGACTTATTTAAATAAAGAATATATTTAAGGGATGAAATCCATTCTATTATTTAATAATTATTTCAATTAATTATCATTGTTAGTCTAATAAATGTTATTAATCATATTAAAATATTATATCAGGGTATGCCATTAAAATAATAAAGAGGAGAAAGGTCAAGAATTAATCCATTTATGTTTTATAAATATAAAAATATATATAAACATATATGTAATTAACAGTTAATGGACCTAGAGTTATTTCCTTTGAAATTTTTTTTATATTAATTAAAAAATTACTACAACCAGTGGTCCAATTGTGTTTATAATTGTTCTTATTCTCCAATTGAGAACATTTTAATGCCGTTGTGTTAACAAAACTGATGCATAGTGCCATTCTAGCTGTGTAACATAATCAAATACACTTGTTGAATTATTATATTATTTAATATATATAAATATAATGATAGTAGTAAGGAATAATTTCAGGCAACCAATAAAAGAACTTCCAAAGACATTAGAAAAATGAATAAAATCCACATTTTATTTTTGACAAAAAATCATAAAGAAAATCATCTTATATTGAAAAACTGCTGAAATATAAAATTCATTCATTTATAGATATTGCAATACATAAATTTAATTAAAATTTAATGATTCACACTTAATTAATAAAGACATATTTATATTCAAACAGGTCACCATTCACTGATTTCTACCTGTTTATTTTCAGTGTAAAATAAAATCTGAAAATAAAAAAAATAATCTATTGTTTTATCATTATTATGTCTATGCTTTTAAAATTAAAATAATTATTATATTATTATTATTATTATCATCATTCGATTTCTGCTATGGACACACTACCTACCAAGTCTGCGGAAAGACCTAAGGCAGGTCGTGGTGTGTTGTTATGGCCACATTTCATGTTAATTTTTTTTTTTTTTTTTTTTTCCGATGAAGTTGCTAGCGTTACATAGACAAAGTTCTCCTTAGTGTGTGTGCTGTACTTAATAAGACAATTTTCTGTATGTCTCTTAAGCTGGGGTTTCAGGGATTCTTTCAATGTGTTGTTTTGTTCCATTTTTTATAATTCCAAGTGCACCTATTACCACTGGTATTATTCTTGTTTTCAATTTCCACATTTTTTCTATTTCAATTTCCAGGTCTTTGTATTTTGATAGTTTTTCAAATTCCTTGGTTGATATGTTACAATCCGCTGGACAAGCCATATCAATTAGTAGGCAAGTTTTTTTTTTCTGGTTTTTGACAATAATGTCCGGCCTATTTGCTTCAATTTTTCTGTCTGTGTGGATGGTATAATCCCATAGAATGGTGACATCTTCTATTTCTGTAACCGGCGCTGGCCGATGTTCATACCAGTGTTTTGCTTACACATTTTCCAAAGTGTTTGCACATTGTCCAGTGTAAGTATTGCCCCACTCTATCGTGACGATTTTTATATTCATTTGGGGCAAGTATAGAACATCCTGAGATTAGATGGTCTATTGTTTCTTGGTATTTGTCACAGAACCTGCATTTTGGATCCACATTATTATGTATGATATTTGCCTGAAAATTCCTAGTGAAAAGACTCTGGTCTTGCGCTGCAAGAATAAAACCTTCAGTTTCAGACTTTAATCCAGATGCTCGTAACCATCGATGAGTATTAACTTTATCAACATTGGGTTTATTTGCACGTTCTGGATATTGGCCATGCAGAGGTTTGTCTTGCCAGCGTTGTTTCATCTGTTCAAGGGCTTTATCCTTGGCTTTCTTTTTTTCATCTTTTGCTGCAATAGTTGGTTCTTGGCTTCTGTTTTGATTTACTACAGAATCTACTAAATGTAAATGTTGTTTGTATTTACTGCCTTCTTTTATTATTGAATATTTTTTTCTTTCTGTTTTCATGTTGTTTCACTAATTTTATCATCCAGTCATTTGTTGTTTCCATGTAAGTTAGTAAGCCAATAGTTGTTGTCTTGTATGACAATTCTAGCTGAATAAGACCTCTTCCACCTTCTTTACGGGGTATGTATAGACGGTCTACATCAGCCTTTGGATGATGCATCTTATACTTAGAAAGAAGCTTTCTTGTTTTAGAATCCATTTGTCTGATGTCATTTAGAGTCCAGTTCAAGATGTTGAAACTATATTGGACCACTGGGATGGCAAGGTTATTAATGGCCATAATTCTGTTCTGAGAATTCAATTCAGTTTTTAATACCAGTCGTACCCTTCTATAGTACTCTTTACGCACTATTTTTTTTTCATTTTCTTATGGTGAATTCCTTCACTCTCATTTACACCTAGGTACTTATAAGCTTCTCCTTGTTCTAAATCTTTTATTGTTACAGCAGGGTCTAAAACTAATAGAGGAAGTTTGTTGTAGAATCCTCCTTAAAAACTGTAGCTTTAGCACATTTATCCAAATTGAATTTCATTCCAATGTCTTCACTGAAGCATTTTACAGTTTGCAGAAGACCTTCCAGCTCATTGTCATTCCTAGCATACAATTTTAAGTCATCCATGTAAAATAGATGGTTTATTTTCTTTTTAGCTATTTTGTAACCGCATTCTGTCTTGTTAAGTTGGCTGGTTAATTATATAAATTTGATATGCAAAATAATAAAGGAGACAAAGAGTCACCTTGAAATATTCCTCTATTGATGTTTATTTCGCCAGACTTATAGGTTCCATTTTATGATTGAGGTAAAGTGTAGTTTTTTTCATATCGACATACATTGTTTGATGAAATTGATGATAACGGGTGATACCTTTACATACTTAAAAAGACTTTTAAGATCCAGGAATGTGGTACACTATCGAATGCTTTACGATAATCTATCCAGGCAATACTAAGATTTTTTTTTTCCACGGAAGCAGTTTTCCAGGATCATCCTATTAATAATTTTTTATTCATTTGTATTTTTGTTTGTGTTTGTCTTTTTGTGCAAAACTTTGTTTATGTGTGTTGATTGTTTTTGTCTGATAATTTTAAAGATAGAAAAACAACGAACAGCTTCTTCTTTATTTTTCTTCAGTCTGTTTTTTTTCTTATTTTTGATCAAATATTTTTGAAATTGTTTTTAAAAAACCAATTTTTTATGATAAACATTGGAAAATCATTTTTCTCATCAAGATTTTCAAATGCATTTTCTATTTAATGAATTCGATAAAATAAAAAAAAGAACAACAAAAAAATCTTTTAAATGATTGCACAAAAACTCATTTCTTTCACATTTATTTTTTGTCATTAAATATTATCCCAATTTAACGTTTTTTTAAGGCGATCCCTAAAACAAATCAATTTCTTCCAGGTCGATTAATAAATTTTAGAGATTCTATCAATAATTTGTTTTGAATCTAGACAATTTTCAAAAACTGTCTTCATAATTTTTTTTTACATTTCCTTCATTTGAAAAGTCAGGTTTTTCAAGAAATTTATTGAATTTTAAATATTTTTTTGGTATTTGAACACATTTTATAAATTAAGAAGTTCAATATTTTCTTCAACCTATTTTTCTTTCACAATTTTTTCATTTTCGTTAAAATTAAATCTTAACATCCTTCTTTCCTCGTTGGATTTATTTTGTTTCATTTTTTCCTTCTTTACCACTTCTAATGAGACGGCAAAACCCACCAGCCGCACATTGTAACTTCAATCCTTTTTTTCCGTTGATTCTGCCTCTTGCGTTTCTTCGTATTTCTCCTCCTTGAAACCTCTGTTTTGTAGAATATGCAACTTTAAAAAGACATTCTTTTGTTCTTGGGACGTAATTCCAACCTTTCTCTTATCTCTTGTTTGTCGTTTGAAAATCTTCGACTCTTCCGATATCCTCTTTAATTTTTCCATTTTCATTTTAAAATTTTCTCTTTTTAACATCATTAGTATACCCAAATAACATTAATTTCTCTTCTTTTTTTGTATTCAAGCTAAATAATTATTTTTGTCTTTGTTTTTTGTTTAACTTTAATAATTTTTTATTCTTCCCTACTTTCTTTTTTGTCTTCTTAAAGCTATCTTCTTCTATTAAAATTTTTTAACACCTTGTTCTATATTTTGGTCATTTGTTATAATAAAATCAAACTTAATTTTTTTTTTTTTTTTCTCCTTTTTTTTCATTGATCTCGCATCCATTTTTCAAAATTTTATTAAAATTTTCTTCTTCTTAATTCTTCAAATCTTGTCTTTGAGATTTCTTCGAAACACTATTCTTTTTCAGTAAAATAAATTTTAGAGATTTTTTTCTTCCCTCTTCTTTTTCAAACTTCATCTTTATTCAAATTTTAAACTCATTATCCCTCAATTTTATACCTTTAATTAATTTTCCACTTTCAACAAAAAATGGTATTCTTTTAAAAATTTTAAACTTTTTTAAATCTTTTAAAAAATTTTTCTCTTCTTCATCTTCATTTCATCCTTTTCATCTTTCGTTTCTTTCATTGTTACTCAATCATGCCATTAAATCATTTTTATATTTCATAAATTTTGAATCTTTTCCATAATATTTTTCCATTTTTGGTTTTCATTCAATTTTCAAAATTTTTTCAGGCATGACAATTTAAAAAATGAATTTTAAATTTTTATTTTCATTTCCCAAACTAACTTGGGTTATAAAAATCTCAATAATTTTTCTTGCCTCCTTCAAAGTTCTTTTCATTTTATTTTTCCTTAAACTTTTTATGGTTTAAAAGTTCTTCTTTTTTTTCACAAAATTCAAACTGGTTCAGATGTTTTTTTTCGTTTGGGTATGCTTCATTTTCCCTTTGCCTTCTTTCTGATGAATAAATTCTTGTTCATCTAAATTTTTCCATTTTATTGTATTGGGCTTCATTATCTCAATTGTTTTTTGTTAATTAATTAGTAAAAAATTTTGGGTTATTTATGTTTTTTAAAATTATTTTCTTAAAAAATTGTTCATTGTTTTTAATAAACAAGTTTATTTATTGAAGTTTTCAATTCAAAACTTCAAATTATTATTATTCTTTTTTTTTTATTTCTTTTTCTTCTTTTTTTTTTTTCTTCTTTGCTTCTTTTATTTTTCTTTTGATTTCTTTCAGGTATTCTTTTCATTTGTTCTTCTTTATTTTCATTTTTCCAAATTTTCTTAATCCTTTCTTCTTCTTCTTATCTTTTTCTTAGTTTTGACAACATTTTCTTATTGGTTCTTTTTCAATCTTCTTCTTCTCTAATTTCATTCCTTTTTCTTCTCATTCTCACCCATCTTGTATTCTTTAATTAAATTCTCATCCTTCCTTTTTTTTTCTTTTTCTTCTTTCTCATTTTCTCCATCTTCTTCTTCTTCTTCTTCTTCTTCTCCACCAAGGTTTTCTTTGGTTTTTAATATTAAATATTATATATATATCATTTTTCTTCTTCTCTCACCGTTCTTCTTCTTCTATGTTATTATTATTTTCCATTTATTTTTCAGGAATCTCATTATCATCATTTTTTCTTCCTATTGTATTCCCCCCTTCTTAAATGATTTTCTTATGGAATAACTTCTTTTTCTTCTTCTTCTTCTTCTTTCTCTCAGCTCATTAATCAACACTTCTGTGAAGATCCTAAGGGTTCTTCATTCTTCGTAATTCAATTCTTCTTCTTATAGGCTCGTTTATTAATATTATTATTATTATTATTCAGCTCACCTTCGGACTTCTTCTTCTTCATCATGGTTTCATTTATCTCCCCTTTCACATTCTTCTTAATTCTTTTCCTCTTCTTCTTCTTCTTCTTCTTTTCTTCCTTACAACATTTTTTGGTCAAATTGCTGTTTGATTATTGGAAAAATCTGTCATTCTTATTTTCTCTTTTTTTACTTTCTCTTATCTGTAAATGTGAACTCTTTTCTCTAAATCCAAATATTTGTTTTGCAATTTCACCAGATTTTAGCTTCTTTTTTAATAACAGATTTTCATTCTTCGCTCTTCTTCCTTTTTCTTTCTTGTCAGTTGAATTGCCAAAATTTATTTTTAACCTTCAAACTCTCGCTTTCTTGAGAATCCCTTCTTTTCTGACGATGCGAGAGATAATATTAAATTAAGATCAACTCCAGTTGAATAAAAATTCTCCAACTAGTCCAAATATCACCTGGGGTCAAATTAGTAATTGCGTTTATCTAATTAAGTTGAGATAAAATAATTACATTCAGGTATTCATTCTTTTCAAAACATGCCATGGTTGTGATTTCTATAAGTATTTTTGCGATTTCAACCGTATTTTTTTTAATGCGGTTAGTAATTTTTACAAAAAAAAAAAAAATTAATTGAAGAAATGTCAACCAACAATATATTTTTCGAAAAAAATAAATCCTGTGCGCAATACCTTTTGACTGATTCAAAATCTCATTATAGGCATTGCTGGTTTGAAAAAAATCAAGGAATGGCAATTTTAAAAAATAATCTTCCAAATACATTTTTTAAGAAAAATTGATTACCATCGAATCATTCATTGTCGTAACTGATTCTTTAAGGTTTACCATTATCCTAAACATTTAAAATTTTTTCGTGCCCTGAATGATTTACCGTATTTAACTCGTGAAACAAAACAAAAAAAAAAAAGCCTAATAAAAAAAAATAAAACAATTTATCAATTTTGATAAAAACAGAAATTTTTCTATTTCAATTACACTCTGATGCGTTATTTTGCGCGCGGTTTCAAAATGAAACTTCCTTTCACAGTCAGACATAATCCTTAATAGGAAAAAGAAGAATAGATTATTGAACTCAGACTAACAGATTTTGAATTTTTTTCCGGTCTTTCGCGGCGTCTCAAAACATATTCGTTTGCAAACCAGTTGCGCGCGTTTTTTCACCTACCTGAAGATAGTTAACAACATAGTGCCTTAACCTACTATGAGCGGGCCGGAATATCTCATAAACAACGATTTTATTTAATTATTTATTAAGACTTTTCTCGTCTTAACGTTACCCGTTTAAGTTTGTGTTTTTTTTGTTCCCGACTTTCGATCTGACTGGACGGGCAACTCATTTATTCCGTCTGCTTAACCCATATTACGGGCGGAATATCTTTTTTTTCAACAATGTCGACCCCAAAACGTTACCAAGACTTTTCTTCTCATCTTTTGGACGTTACCAAGGTCAATGCTTTCTCCGTTTTTACCAGAAAACGTTTTATATTTATCATTCGTGAGCAAAAATTCCTCGTAAAGCAGAACTTATCCCTCGTCAGTGAACCAAACTTTAACTGTACAGAATGATATCTTGTTGATGTCAGACAAACTTGCTGCCGCAGGTCAGACCTTTTATCCATTTTCTACCAGAAGACGTTTTTAGAGACACGACACTGTCGTAGAGCAAAAACTTCGTATTCAACGGGTGACTAAGCTTTATCCTCGTCAGTCAACATAGTAAATACAGGCAGGGATATTCTTACTTTGAACAAAACATTTTTCGTCTCTCTCTAGGGCTCGCCGTAAAATTACCATGAGAAATAACTCAAACATGCTTCGTTTCTCCCGTCTAAAGATGCCCACAGCAATCCAGAAACATTTCCAGCAGTCAATTCAATGTCTCACCAAAAAAACTGCAGACGACCGAACATTCTTTCAAATGAACCTGAACACAAAAAATACATATACACAACGCCAAAAAAAAAAAAATCACATGAGTACTCCTTTCTATCTGTGCGCACATCCTTTTTTTCCAGAACCTTATAAAAAATTTTTTCCCGCCTTAGCCATTTTTTTTTTCTTTTTGGCGCGGGAACCCGAAAATCTAAATGTTTCCATCTTTGATTAAAGTTACTCATGTTTTTAAACAGACGTCTTTGTCATTTTATTCCGGCTATCTTTGATGTTTATTACACATGCATAATCGTTGATTGACCCTTTCCTCTCATTGTTCATTCACGCATTATTTTATTTTATTTTTTTTGCTTGGGACTCCGGTAGTTTAGTGTGGTGTCTGGCTTCCAGCGTCATAGTAATAAACCAGCACTGCACGCTGCCGGGTCTTAAAATACTGCAGTCAAAAAGAAAAAACTCACTATTCAGTGATGAAAAAGAATGCATTAGAATCATTACACTGGATCGCAGTAAGAAAAATGAATGATCCTAAATCAATAGAAAAGCATGTCTTGCAAACGGTACAAGTTGTTCATTAACTGAATGTAACGGAACTTTCTGGACTCTGTAAACATATTTTAGAACAACATTGACATGAAGATAGAAAAATGAACAAAATATTTGGTCATCTCATGCCATTGAAGTAATGAAATTTTTTTGCCTTTTTTGCTAAGATTTAACATCCTATTGAAACTCTGTAGTCGCATGAATAATGTAAATAAAAAGAAAACAGAAATATTTATGAAATATCTAACAAAAATGTCTTGAAATACCAAAGAGGAAATTTAATGAATTAAATCGCCATTGGCTTTATGCAGCTTCCAGACGACCTCCGAATCTGAAATATTCTTCCGGATTTCTCCTTGTTTAAGTTGGTGAATGCTGCCAAAGTCCTTGAGCGTTCAAAAAATCATCTTGTGTTACAAAGGAGTTTTGTGGACTCTCTCTCTCTCTTTGTCTCTCTCTCTCTTAGCGGCAAAGATGAGGATAATAATCCAATATTGCAGGCTGGAGAGTTAAAATAATAAATTTAGTGGTTGCAGTTTGCAATTGTCTCAAGTCATGTTCTGTATTCTTCATTTTTGGCGTCACGAGTTCTAACCAGACATAGGGTTTTTTCTTTTGAACCAGGCAAGGCAACTACCTCCACAAAAAACTTCATGTAGGCCTGGGTGTTTAGTCTGAAAGACTTTACCAACAAACTTTTCTTATCAGAACGATTGCAGTGAGTTTTTCGTTCAAAACCTTCTAATCACCATTGAACTCATCTAACTCTTTCCGAATCCTTGGCAAAAGGGAAATTCCAGAAAATAAATTCTGAAATGTTTGCATTGGCGCTTCGGTGCAATACCAAGTTTCACAGGATGCCGTTTCCAGATTTCTGATGGACAGAAGAGTGTCAATTGGGATTTTAGGCATTTATTCTAATGGCATATATATATATATATATATATATATATATATATATATATATATATATATATTATTTAAACATCTAGACATATGCTAAAAAAGCAAAAATTTGGGTTTCTCGTGGTACACAAGCAGAAACGCTTCATGAATTTACGTCTGCTATTCTGCGATGTTTATCGGTCATAGCAATCTTCTTGTCAACATAGCAAAAATATTATCTTTGATGGTGGATAACTTTGTTTAAATGTTTGTATAAGCACTCTATATATGGCTCATTTTTAAAATTATATTAAGGCCCAACTTAATAAAGTTATCCAAATATGGGATTTTTTTTTACTTTATTTTCACCTAGAAATTAAAATAAAATAAGAAATTTAGAACGGCTCATGATCAGAACATAATAGACATTCATTGTACAGTTATGATATATATATATATATATATATATACATATATCATATAGGAATGCAATCCTTAAGATTAGTTTAGGTTAATGATCATTTTCACCTTGTAAATTGAAATAAAATTTAAGCATTTTTAAACCAGTTAGTGGATGATAAATTGTTGTAATAAAATGGCCAAACAGAGGAAAGGAAAAAAAAGGGAAGAAAAGGCAAAGAAAAAAATGGAGCATTATAATCTATTTCAATTTTTAAATGAAAATTTATAAAACTAATGTAATCTAAATTTCTATTGTATAATATGTTTGCTCTGTTTGATTAAATCATTGAGCTCTATGTGTGTATCAGTTTTAATAATTAATATTGTATTAATAGGATTGCCTTGGATTATATACCAACGGTAATATTATTTGGCCTTGTTTTCCCTTTTTTTTCGTTTAGTGGAATCATAATCAATTTCCTTTGTTGAGAATTTTTCGCCAATTATGTAACCATAGTCAATTATCTTGGATAAATCAATTCAGAATACATTTTTGATATGGAAGATTAGCACAGATTTCTAGTAAATTCATATTTTACTGGAGCCTTAATTGTCAACGTGTTCAGTAAGATGCATCAGAATTAGGAATAGCTTCTGATTCTCATTTTATTTAGTACTGCTTGCACGTTTACATTGAAAATTACACACTACCGGAACCAGGATTGAACTCACAATCACTCTATCTCCAAATACACAAACCATCCTTTAATCCACTTGGCCATTGTCGGAAAGTGTGTATAGCTGTGAGGAATAACTTAGGAGTAGTAAAAAAAAATGAAAACAAAAACAAAAAAATAAAATAAACAAACAAAAACATCCCTAGACATCCCTAGACATGACAGTGTAACTAGTGCAATCTACTCCTAGATTAAATAAATGTTTCAGTTTGAAAATCCTATTAGATTATCCAGATCGTAACGTTGTGATGTCAACGATAAACATTAAGACAACAGTCCGAATATAAATACTGTAAATAATGAATTCCTTTTACATCTCTTTGAAAGAAAAAAAAAAAGTTCATCTCGAGGAAAGGTTGATATTAGCAAAATTAAATTTTGTCAACATTAAGAACAACATTCCCTCAATCAGATATGCAAATAGAGTCTTTGTAGAAAATTTGGCTCGCCTTCGGTGGTTTGAGAAAATGCCAAAAAGCATAAAACTTACTGACTTGCGGACCTTAATTAAACGTAAATGAACCAGAAAAAAAAAATGAAAACAGCCACAACCTATAAACGCGATATTACGATACTGAGACATTAAGAAGTGAAATATATTGAATTCAAATAACAGCAACACGAGATCTGTCCGAGATCTCACGAGATCTAAATGCTAAAAGGATTCTTACGCTAATGAGAATCTTCATGCATAAAATTTTGGATTTTCATTTTGCTGTCCCTCCTTGGTTTTGCTGAGAAGTTTTCAGCACCTCATCATATATAAATCTGTTTTGCTTATTCCACATATCATTATTAAAGTCAAAATGTTCACTTCTTATCACCTCCTAAAATTCATATCACACACCACATTCAGTAACTCATATAGTTGAAGCCATAAAATTGCATATAACTTCTTTAAATTTTGGTATTAAATAACCCATAGAG